AATCTAGCGAGGGTAAACGAGGGGCAAGTGGGACTTGTCGACCTGGGAAGGTAGCCCATCCTGGAGAAGGAAAACTCTGATCCTAAATCTCTGCTGCCTTGAGGGATATCTTTGAAAAGGCTGAGGAGTAAACCCTACACAATCCAGAGCAGAACCCCTAAGAGGGTTGAATGGCGCCTTGTACACTTCCTGAACTGCAAAGTTTGTGCAAGTGATTTCCCCCAATGTGTCTACTGGGCAGAAACCTGTATCAAAATGCATCTCTTAGAAGAAATGTACAAGACATACCAATTTGGAAAGAAGATGAAGCCCTGACCAGAGACGAATGGTTGATGAAGAAGATGGCCTATGCGGAAATGGCGGAAATGACCGGGAAAATCAGAAACCAGGAAAAGATGAACTTTAAGAAGGAATGGGAAAAAAATTATAATGTATTTAAGAGAACACTGTAAACAACTAAAAACTTTGGCAGGATTTGAGTAACACTTGTAATGTATTAAAAACTAAGGTAAACAATGGATTGTTTAAGAAAAATAGAGAAAATAAGTGAAGCAACTGGGGGGGGGGGAGTTTGATAATGGTAACCATGGAAGGGCAGAGGACAGTCAAAGGATTCAGGGAATCTTAAATGATGATGTTGGTGTTTAATGTTTGAATTTAAATCTGCAATGTAAGACTCAATAAAAAAAGATTTGAAAGAAAAGAAAATACATACAAATGTTCATGCACTTTTAAAAACAGATGCATAAATGAAGCAAACAGAGTGTAAGGCTGGAAAAACGAGAAACTGAAAGTGACATATTCATCTATCCTTAGTTGCCACAGGTACTTGCGGTGGGAAGCTGTGACTGGCATCAGGTTCCCACCGTAAATACGTAAAGCGAACCACAAATGTTGCCTTTGGTTCTTGGGGAGGAGGAGGCTATGAAGCAGCAACCTGCATGGATCCAGCACAGAGACCGCACACATCCTCTGCAAGGAACAGCAGCGGAAGGCGACAATGGCTGCTTTGTGACACATTTTCTCAGCTGGTCCTGAGAGAGCGTGTTTTTGCTCCCGCTCCGCACACAGAAACTAAGGATGCCTCGGGAAGGTCTTCCAACTGGTGCCGGCCATAATGGGGAAAGGATGTACTTAGGTGTCAAATCACCCACTGGGGGTGTTCTTCAAAGCTGGCAAGGGAATCTGCGACCCTCCTTTAGTCTTGCAGTTTGGCAATGCGGCAAAGACCTAGCATGGTGTTCGATGATTCTCAGAGTAGACACATTGAAATTAAAGAACATGGCTAGGTTGGGTCCATTAATTTAAGTGGGTCTAAGGGACGCGGGTGGCGCTGTGGGTTAAACCACAGAGCCTAGGACTTGCCGATCAGAAGGTCGGTGGTTTGAATCCCCGCGACGGGGTGAGCTCCCGTTGCTCGGTCGCTGCTCCTGCCAACCTAGCAGTTCGAAAGCTCATCAAAAGTGCAAGTAGATAAATAGGTACCGCTCCGGCGGGAAGGTAAATGGCATTTCTGTGCGCTGCTCTGGTTTGCCAGAAGCGGCTTAGTCATGCTGGCCACATGACCCGGAAGCTGTATGCCAGCTCCCTTGGCCAATAAAGCGAGATCAGCGCCGCAACCCCAGAGTCGGTCACGACTGGACCTAATGGTCAGGGGTCCCTTTACCTTTACCTAAGCTGAGCAAAACACAGTTGAATACCACCCCTTGATTTTAACGCTGGGCTATGGAAGCCAGTGGTGATTCCAGAAACCTTACTTATTGAGCATTCATCTCAGATTGTTTGCAGTGAAGTGAGACGGCGTGGCTATTTAATGAGCATTTACACTTATTTGTTTTCAGGGATGTATTGCACCAGGCAAGTATTTCCCCAAACTTTCCCAGGCAGTTTTCCATCACTTGCCTTTTCGCAAAAAAATAAATAAAATAAAAACCCAACCTTTTTCGGAAGCGGGCTTATTGCACAAGCCCCCCAATCAGCTTTAATTGCGCACTCTGAATTTGCCAGGATGCGACTGAATCCCACTCCAAAAATAGCAACCGCCTGGAGGTTGCCCCCAAATGCAGCAACTGTGGCTTGAAAGCTATAAATCCATTACCTAAACAGACAACCATTATGTCTTCATAAAAATGACTTGTATGCTGCAATTTCATAATATAACAAATCCAGGGTGGTTTGCTACAATTACATATACACAATAAAACACACACAAATTACTGATCGCCAGCGAATACTTACAGCAAACTGTGTTTTTTTTAAATTGCCTGCATAAGCCTGGCAGCATAAAAAATGTTTCAGTATGGAAAATACCTATCAGAAGATCCATATTAAAGGTTTTGTTTCTTGCTGATGTCCAATGAGCCTCACCAACTCGGTGGATGACCAGCAACACTCCTACAGGTGATCTCAGTGCCTGGGCTGGGATACCCAGGTGGTCCCTAAGAGATCCTGGACCTAAGTTGTTCAGGGATTTGCAAATTAATACAAAGACCTTGAAGCGGGCTCAGTAGCCTGATCCCAGATTTTAGTAGGTCCAGATGATGCCCACAACTACCATCACTGGGTGACCTTGGAGCACAGTCATGGCCTCTCAGCCTTACCTACCTCATAGGGGTAATAATAATAATAATAATTTATTATTTATACCCTGCCCATCTGGCTGGGTCTCCCCAGCCACCCTGGGCGGCTTCCAACAAAGTATTAAAATACAGTGGTCTGTAGAACCATGGGTGCCATTTTGAACTCCTGAGGGGGGTGGAGAATAGGATATATTAGGTGTTTTGTGGCAACAGTTCTATAACACCTCTCCATTTTGTCCAGAGGTAGATTTTTGAAAATTGGGCGCACCTCCACCACATTACGGGCAGAGGAAAGCACTCACCCACTCCTGGCTGTAGTTCTAAGAGAATGAGTGGTAAAATCTTAGCTCAGCCATGAACTCCCTGAATACGCCTAAGCAAGCTGTTCCCTCAGGGGGGATAATGCTCCAAGGTTTTTCCTAACAACTAACTGGGTTCGTGGTGAGGATGAGATTTGAACCGAGGAGTTAGTTGCTCATAATTCACACTCTTAGCCCCCCACAATGTGCTGCCTGAAAAGCATCAGTATTTCAGGGCCCAAATATTGCCTGAACCATCAAAATGTGAACCCAGCTGGTGAGTAAATGCACGATTTAAAATTAGTACCCGGGTGAAGTAAAGGCAGCACCAAAATAATAGTTCAAAAGCCATTCCCAATGAATTGTCCCACAGCACCTTTGGGTGCTGGGCCTCCCTTCTAAGGAGATTAATGTGCCGCCGTGCCTCTTCTGCAAAACTATTTATCATAAAACTAAAAGTAGGGCAACACCTTTGTTATGCCCAACTAATTATTTATTGCAATCTATTTTAATAACATATCGGCGCCTTTATTAGGTCATAATAAAAGTATAAGTCTACTGTGACTTCTGATTTCACCACCATCAATGGTGGGCCAACACATCTCAGTCTTCGGTCTGAGACGACTCCAGTGAAGGATTTGCACACAGGGCTTGGAGATGGCCTCCAGGGTGTGACAAAGGGGTTTGACACCCAATTCATACCTGAGTTCTGGGTATCCTAATGTTGCCAAAGAGATTCCACAGTGCCAATTCCATATAGAGAATCTGTGCCCTCACCTGGTGAGAACCGGTATTTAAGCTATGAGGGAACTACTGAACTACCAGGAATTACCAGGTCACACCGCTTGGGGGTGCGTTCGATTTAGGGGCCTTCGCCAACCTGATGCCCTCAAAATGTTTCGGATGACAATTCCCATCCGCCCCAGCCAGCACTCATAGCAAACGCTTTCCCTGAGGGTTGCTCCAAGCTAAAACACAACCACTCACGCACAAGGGAGAGCTACCCGCTAGAGCATAGCTGTCAACTTTTCCCTTTTCTTGTGAGGAATCCTATTCGGAATAAGGGAATTTCCCTTTAAAAAAGGGAAACGTTGACAGCTATGTGCTAGAGGTGTGCACCAAACACAAGATTTTATTCAGATCCCACTTCAGGATTTGAAAAAGTGAGTCAATTCTCCTCAGACCACTTCTGAGGGCGGCCATTTTGCCTCAAGTTCTTATCAGAACCTCCTTCCAAAGCTTTGTGCCACTCTGCTGGTCATCACAGGGAAACCAGCAAATGGCTGTTGGTTTGCCTTTTTGACTAAATTGGATAAGAACTGCAAGCACAGCAGCCCCTTCTGAGTGGGTGATGCTTGCCAAAGGGATGCAGGGTTTAAAAAATTTATTTATAATTTATAGGAAGCCAGTGGGCCAACTCTAGTCCAACCCCCTGCCATGCAGGAATATTCAAAACAACCAAAAGCAACACATGGCTAATAATGGACTAACAAGTGTTTATGCAAATTCCTAAACAAAAAGTATGTCAGAGTCACACATATAAATGTTCATTGAACAGAAATAGAAGGTGTAGTCATTCAGTATCACTAAGAAGGAAGCCAAACACTTTTCAAAAGTCAAAAAGCTGCAGATACCTTTATGTGGTGAAAGGTGCTCCGAACGTAGAACTGTATCTTTAAATTTCCTTAAATTATATGTGATTCAGTATACCTGTGGGCAGCCTGTATAATGCTGCTAGGGCTTTGCCTTCAGAATCAGCTTACTACAGTATCAAGTGATTGCTGATCCATTGCTACTTTATGTACCTATAGGGACAATTCATTGGGTATGTATTTATTATTTATTATTGTTCATACAGGTCTGTCATTTCAATTTCTGTATTATATTTGAATTCAATGGATTTCTATTTCTAATATTGTCAGCTGATGAAGAATCATCATCGAAACAGTTCAGTTATCCGAAAAAACTGTCGTTTTAGGTTATATGTGTGACTCTTTTTGTTTATGAATTTGCATAAACACTTGTTAGTACATTATTAGCCGCACGTTGCTTTTGGTTGTTCAGAGTTTTCTGTTTTGCAACACAGGGGATTTCCTTTGTTGTACATGCAGGAATATACAGCTGTCCCATACAGGGATCGAACCTGCAGACTTGGTGTTATCAGCACCATGCTCTAACCAACCCAGCGCTTGGTTCTCTTGGTCCTAGCCCTATAAGGCCTAGTACCCTCATACCTATGGGACCGCCTCTCCTGGTATGTCCCATGGAGGACCTTATGGTCTACAAATAAAAACATCTTGGAGATCCCGGGCCACAGGGAGGTTAGGCTGGCCTCAACCAGAGCCAGGGCTTTCTCGGCTGTGGCCCCGATCTGGTGGAACGCTCTGTCACAAGAGACTAGGGTCCTGTGGGTCTTGACATCTTTCCGCAGGGCCTGCAAGACAGAGCTGTTCCACCAGGCCTTTGGCCAAGGCACAGTCTGGCCCCCTCCTTTGGTAATCCTCATGGAACTCTAGCCCAATGGTTGCCATTAATTTGATTTTGAATTGATTTTAGAATGAACTGATTTTAGAATGCTGTGTTACTTTTATTGTTGTTAGTCACTCTGAGCCCAGCTTCGGCTGGGGAGGGTGGGATATAAATAAAAATTTATTATTATTATTATTATCCAGGCCGTCAGGTGCTTGGCAGCCATTATGCAGGAGGCTTTGGCAGCACACACACAAAAAAGTCCCAAGCCTATGGGTTGACAATGCTGCTTTCTGCAGGGACTGTGTGCCCCACTGAGCTCCCCATGGGGAACTGGGCTGTGCAGCTGACCCAACCGCATATCTACCTGCCCCACAGCAAGCAGGGCCTGAACACAAGAGCACCCGCCCCTCCTGCAGCTTCCAGCAACTGCTATGCGTTACTTACACACTCACTCACTCACACCAGCAATGGCAACCAGCCGTCTTTCCCATGTGAGGCTGCTCGGGGATGTTTTCCGCGTGCCAAACAAAAGCGGAGACCTAGGATTCACCTTGCCTTTCAGCTAAGCCTATGCAGAGATCACAGAAGTGGATGTTCGTGAGGCAAACAGAGCAAGCATCTCTCTCGGCAGCTGTTGATAGACCAAGCTGACCTCCCGCGTGACTTGTAAGCACAGATAATGGGTACCAGGGAGAAGAAAAAGGGGTTAGCGAAGAGCCTGGACTTGTGAAGGAAGGAGGTGTGTGTGTGTGGAGAAAGAGAGGGGGGAAGCAGGAACATTGAAAAGCCCGTTGCAAGATGCTCTGTAATGGGATCTGCCGGATAGGAAAGAGAAACCACTATGTTCAGTTGCAGTGCAGTGTGGAGGGGAAATGGGATGTGAAATGGCTTCTCGCCTGCTCTCCGGTGACCTGCGTGGCTCCCCCTGATCTTCATCGGCTCCTAAGCCCCCATGGGTATCCAGTATATCTGAAGGAGCGTCTCCACCCCATCGTTCTACCCGGACACTGAGGTCCAGCACTGAGGGCCTTCTACCCGGACACTGAGGTCCAGTACCAAGGGCCTTCCCTCACTGCGAGAAGCCAAGTTACAAGGAACCAGGCAGAGGGCCTTATTGGTAGTGGCACCTGCCCTGTGGAACACCCTCCCACCAGATGTCAAAGAGAACAACAACTACCAGACTTTTAGAAGACATCTGAAGACAGCCCAGTTTAGGGAAGCTTTTGATGTTTGATGCATTACGGTATTTTAATATTTTGTTGGAGGCCGCCCAGGGTGGCTGGGGAGGCCCAGCCAGATGGGCGGGTTATAAAGAATAAATTATGATGATGGTGATGATGATGGGTCACCACCCGAGAGACATGGTAAAAGGGGCTCACTCCTCCAGATCGCTCTTACAAGCAGCCGCAGTCTACTAACGTTGACTTATGAGCAGCCTTTACTTTAGTTGGGGCTGGGAAAGGAGGGCCACAGTCCATTCCGGGCAACCTTACAGGGGCCATACACCAGTGGTGGGCGGGGCAATTGATGTAAACTTTACCTTTGTATGCAACATGGGTTTCACACAAACCTCCCTGTTCTCCATTTAGGGAAGTGAAAGGCATTATCCAAGTTTGAGGACACGTTCCAGGCAGGCAGAGACAGTATGAAACAGAGCTGGTAAGGGCCGTGGACTGGGGTGGTTGTGGAAAGTGAAAATAATCCCAAGCATCAGACAGAGAGCATTGAGGGGCTGTTTGGGTCCCCAATCCAAGGTTTCCCCATCACTGCCATACAATAAGTCCATCTGGATGCAGCAGGGCTTACTTCTGAGCAGGCAGGTATTAGATTGCACTTTTAGAATACATTTCAGGATCCCTGTATAGATAGATATAAGACCTAGGAGTCAATCTAACTTGAGGAGGTGGCAAAATTAGCTGGCCACATCCTGAGGGTTGTCATTCTTTTAAAAAGAAGGCTGATTTGACTTCATTTTTATTTAACAGCGTTTATATATTGCTTGGGACGCGGCTGGCGCTGTGGTCTAAACCACAGAGCCTAGGGCTTGCCGATCAGAAGGTCGGCAGTTCGAATCCCCGCGATGGGGTGAGCTCCCATTGCTCAGTCTCTGCTCCTGCCAGCCTAGCAGTTCGAAAGCACGTCAAAGTACAAGTAGATAAATAGGTATCGCTCCAGCGGGAAGGTTAAACGGCGTTTCCGTGCGCTGCTCTGGTTCGCCAGAAGCGGCTTAGTCATGCTGGCCACATGACCCAGAAGCTGTATGCCGGCTCTCTCAGCCAATAAAGCGAGATGAACGCTGCAACCCCAGAGTCGGCCACGACTGGACCTAATGGTCAGGGCTCCCTTTACCTTTACCTATATGTTGCTTAACTGCTTTAACTGAGATTCCTGCATTGCAGGGGGTTGAACTAGCCCTGGGTCCCTTCCAGCTCTTAAGATTCTATGAATTACCGTATTTTTTGCTCTATAAGACTCACTTTTTCCCTCCTAACAAGTAAGGGGAAATGTGTGTGCGTCTTATGGAGCAAACGCTGGCTGCGCAGCTATCCCAGAACCCAGAACAGCAAGAGGGATTGCTGATTTCACTGCGCAGCGATCCCTCTTGCTGTTCTGGCTTCTGAGATTCAGAATATTTTTTTTCTTGTTTTCCTCCTCCAAAAACTAAGTGCATCTTGTGGTCTGGTGCGTCTTATAGAGCGAAAAATACGGTGATTGTGATGAAAGCTGCTTACAAAGAGGTTGCATCTCCTCCTCCTCCTAAACCAATGTTCCATCAGCCTATGCTCTCAAACATTGCCCACCTGGCATGATTAATGATGGACGTTGCTTGGTCATTGCACTGTAGAATAAGGAAGAGCTTTCTCCTCTGTAACCTACAACAGGGCTGGACTGAAGACACCAGTCGTTGGCCATGGTAAAGTTGGTGCCCACCCCTTTCTTCAAAAGGAAGAGACAGGGTGTGTGTAGCTTGTTGGGTCAACATCTCAGCTCATCCGTAGTTGCACAATTCAGCAGCTGTGCCTTTAGGATTTTCCTTGTCCATGTATTTGCTGAGATTTATGCACTAGAGTTTGCCAGGACCCAAGTTTGAGTTCTTCATCCAGCAGCCAGGACAGAGGGAGTGCCCCCAAAATGCCCCCAGCTCCCAACTTCCCCCGCAAGGTGGGAGCCGGCCACACAAGAACATTGCGTCCCAAAACCATTATCAGCAATATTATGACAAGCCGGGGCGTGGTTGTCTGGGTGAGCTAATTCATAAAGCATTCCTTGGTCTGTTAATCCCTTCGTTGTCCTATAAGCACCGCATCAGATGAAAGAGGAGCACAGCGCTTATATGAAGACAAAGATTTGCTTCTGTCGGGATCCCGTTGGGCGGCTTTCGGGAGGTGAAGTCTGACAGACGAGCAGAACGCTCTAAACGACTATTGTCAGGGATCAAAAGCAGCAGCAGCAACAAAAGTTTTTAAAAATTAAAGAGCCGATATCTAACAAAGCTTAAAAGAGGCAGAACTACCCTACCCTGTACATTTAAGCTCCGGGCGAACTGTGCCATTTTCTATGGAATGAATTGCATCAGATCTTTAGATTTGAAAAGAAAGAATCAGTGGTTTGCTTTATTACAATGAGCTTCGTTGGACATGCCTGACTCTGCAGGTATTTGCAAAACACATACACACACACACACACACACACACACTGCAACAACCCAGCATTATTTTGTTGTTATGGCAGGTGGGGTTCCCCTAAAACAAAGTTGAACTTTGGCGCTCCCTAAAATAGAGCTTAGGGTCTGTCCCAAAACGGTGGGAGTTTCTGCACCTCTTTTTCTAGGGGGGAAAAAGCACTGGTGGCAAAGGGTTTTTTTCAGGGTGGTCAGTCTGCATGATGCCTTGAGTCCCTTCCAATTTTGGGGGTTCTGTACCCAACAAGGATTAAAATCTGTAAAGAGGATTCTGCTGCTGCAGACCCTCCAAATGTCCCTATTTTCCAAGGACAGTCTCCGATTTACAGAAGCTGTCCCGGTTTCTGATTTGATCCTGGAATGTCCCACTTTTCCTTAGGACATCCCTATTTTCATTGGAGAAATGTTGGAGCGTATAGAGCTATGCGACCCCCGAGCCAATGAGATAAGTAACTATACAACCTCTACAAGACATCTGAAGGCAGCCCTGTATAGGGAGGTTTTTTAACATTTAAAGTTTTATTATGGTTTTATATATGTTGAAAACCACCCAGAGTGACTGGGGCAGCCCAGTCAGATGGGTGGGGTAATAATAAGAATATTAATTAATAAGAATAAAGAGGACACCTCTATTTTCCTCAGAGAAATGTTGGAGGGTATGTTGCTGAACTAGGCAATTGCAGGACAATGGCCTTAGCTGGCCACTTAAGAGCCATGAATAGCATAACCGAAGGAGTTACTAGATTCATGTAGGTAGCCGTGTTGGTCTGACGCAGTTGAAATAAAAAATAAAAAATAACAATAATATAATAATAATTTTATTTATACCCCGCCCTCCCCAGCCAAGACCAGGCTCAGGGTGGCTAACAACCAATAATAAAAACAAGTTGATTGAAATACAACTTAAAAAACAAGATTAAAATACAACATTAAAACATTAAAATATTAAAATGCCAGTAGCATTTTAATAATTGTCCAGTAGCACCTTATAGACCAACTAAGTTTGTTCTGGTATAAGCTTCTGTGTGTGTATCTGAAGAAGTGTGCATGCACACGAAAGCTTATACCTGTACCAGAAAAAACTAAGTTGGTCTATAAGGTGCTACTGGACAATCTTTTTTCTTTAATTTTTTTTCCCAAAGGAGTTATTCTGTGCCAAAGGACAGATAAGAAAGCCTTTCCTCTTCCCCGTGTGGCCAGTAGATAGAAGACCAATAGGAGAGTAGTAGGCTGCATCTAAACTTGTAATGGAAGCAACACTGTTTTGGGGTGTTAGTGCCGTGAAGCCCTCCATCTTCTGCTCAGGTTTTATATATGTGTAAGTAAACCATATATCCTAAAGACACTACAGTCTCCCCTGACCCTCATTTGAAGGAAACCAAACCCTCGGTAAGCGTCTGGAACACCTGCTTGGAGAGTGGGGTGTTATTATTATTAATAGCTATATTATATAGCTGTCCAATGGGGACACGGGTGGCGGTGTGGTCTAAACCACTGAGCCTAGGGCTTGCTGATCAGAAGGTCAGTGGTTCAAATCCCCGCTATGGGGTGAGCTCCTGTTGTTCAGTCCCAGCTCCTGCCCTCCTAGCAGTTTGAAAGCACATCAAAGTGCAAGTAGATAAATAGGTACCACTCTGGCGGAAAGGTAAACGGTGTTTCCGTGCGCTGCTCTGGTTCGCCAGAAGCGGCTTAGTCATGCTGGCCACATGACCCGGAAGCTGTCTACAGACAAACGCTGGCTCCCTCGGCCAGTAAAGCGAGATGAGCACGCAACCCCAGAGTCATCTGCGACGAACTAATAGTCAGGGGTACCTTTACCTTTATAGCTGTCCAATAATAAGAGTTTTCTGGGCAGCTCACAAAATAAAAAAATAATGCAGTATTAAAATACCACACGAAACAAAAAATTGTCTGTTAATTGATTTTAAAACTGGAATACCACTAAAACACAATTTTAGAATCTCAGCATGGATCCAATATTCTCCTCCTGCTGACTTCTCCTCTATGTCAAATGAGGGTCAGGGGAGACTGTAGTGTCTTTAGGATATATGGTTTACTTACGCATATATAAAAAATCCTGCAAATCCCAACTCTTGGTTTTGCTGTCAACTCCACACTTGCCTTGCCTGTTGGGACAACCTTATGAGAATATGCATTGTCCTGCCTCTCCGGCCAATTCTATCCATACCCTTCAGTTAGATTCTTCCGAGCCCCTCCAGCTCACAGCAATCAAGCGAGATAAGGCTGAATGCCAAAACTCAGTTCCACTGAATCTGTAGCTCCAATCTTTGGCATCCTACCAAAACAGTCCTTTTGAAATCCAGTCTCGGCTTAGCAAATTTCATCCTTTTTCCTGATGAATCTGTCTGTCAGCACCCGTAACAGGTTGACAGTATTCTCTGTTTTTCTCAACCGATTTCATTAGATTGCTTTCATAGCAGACTGGCTCTTTCCTTTGTCTCCTTTGAGTCTTGAGAGTCGTAATCTTGTGATAGCTATAGGTTGTGTTAGAACAATAAATTATTCTGGTGCACCTATAGACTTGGCTTTTCCCGTAATTATTAAACATTATGAGGACTCACGCCTGAATTTCCGGGGGCCTAAATTCACCGAGATATATCCCAAATGGAGGCCAACACCAGTGCCGAGCAGAGAAGAAGGTCTGTCGTCACCTGGCAATTTTAAGGAGAGAGAGGGCATCAGCTGCATACATGGCAGTTTCATGAGAGGCAGTGTGGTAGAGTGGTTAGAGTGCCAGACTAGGACCTGGGAGACCAGGGTTCAAATCCCCACTCAGTCATGGAGCTCACTGGGTCACCTTGGGCCAGTCACGATCTCTTGGGCCAACCTACCTCACAAGGTTGTTGTGAGGATGAAATGTGGAGCAGGAGAACCATGTGCACCACCCTGAGACCCCTGGAAGAGGTAATAAATGTACGGGGCTAGTGTAGGCAAAGAGCTCTTAATACGCAAAGGTAAAGGGACCCCTGACCATTAGGTCCAGTCGTGGCCGACTCTGGGGTTGCGGTGCTCATCTCGCTTTATTGGCCGAGGGAGCCGGTGTACAGCTTCCAGGTCATGTGGCCAGCATGACTAAGCTGCTTTCTGGAGAACCAGAGCAGCGCACAGAAACACTGCTTACCTTCCCGCCAGAGTGGTACCTATTTATCTACTTGCACTTTGATGTGCTTTCAAACTGCTAGGTTGGCAGGAGCAGGGACCGAGCAACGGGAGCTCACCCGTCGCGGGGATTCGAACCGCCGACCTTCTGATCGGCAAGCCCTAGGCTCTGTGGTTTAACCCACAGCGCCACCCGCATACAAATGCTAAGTATTATTTCCAAAGCGCAATCCCATGGAGGTGACTACCATGCTCATGCTCTCAGTCCATGGGAATCTATGGCAGGTGGGCTTCAGTGTGCACATGGACCTTCCCCGCCTACAAAGCAAAACTAGGTTGTGCTGAAATTCCATGCACCCTGGGGCACATACAGAGCTCTGGATCAGAGCACCCGCCTATCGATTAACATTGCGCAAGTCAGATGTTCCCACTGACACATACATTTCCCATGACCCTCCCCTCGTTCTCCTTATGCACAGGGAATGCATTCTCTGTGAGTCAACGTAGCAGCAGTTCATAAAACCCTTTATTTGCATCTCGGAAGGGTTTGTGAGAGTTCCACCTCTGCAAAGGAAACACAAGACAGGAGAGCAGCCAAGCAAGGGATAATAACTTCTTCTGTCAGATCTACGGGGGTGGGCAAATTTGAAACATTCCAAATTTTTCCATTATTCAGTTTAGCTCCCTCCATTTCCACATCAGTTTGCAATTGAAGGAGGGGGGAGTTTTTGAGAAAGTGCATCAGCATTGGAGTGCTAATTTCTTTTAAGATGCATATTTCTTGCATGCACTTTTCCCTCCTATACTCAAATCTGCAAAGCTGAGTCTTCTACTATGAGCATTGTTCTGTACAGGTTACTGGAAATTTGCACCCAAAAATCCGTAGAGATTTCGTACAGATTGCTGGATTCAGAGAGGTGCAAACTTTGAAGGCGTTCTGAGTTCGGAAAGGTTAACTCAGATTAGGTAGATTCCCCTTGGAATGCAAAGTAAATCGAATGTCTCCCTAAACAGATCACATATTCTTTCGTTGCTGAACTAAGCAAGGAGAGTACTAAATGAATGCAGTTGACTGGGCAGCCTATAAGCAAAAGAGCCAGTCAGCTAAATCAAGGCATTTGTGGTGGCCCAGGGTTTAAAAAAGGAGGAGGGTGGGGAGGTTAAATTGTGCCCAATCACTGGGTTACTATGCAACCAGATCAAGTATTTATGCAGGAGGATGTTGGGAACAGACCACACCCTTTCTGATGGCTTTGTTGTCTGAAAGGCAAGCTGCCTACCCTAGAATCCCAGTCCCTATATTTGTCTCGGGACACAATTGCATGTTATGAACGCTTCTTAAAAGGGGGGGCTACGCAAATGCCATTGGGAACATTAGCCGGGTTGGGGGTGTGTGAGTGAAACTGAAAGCAAGCCAGTCAAGTGCACCAAGAAGGTGCAAATTGGCTTTTGAGGAAACTGTGCAGCAAAATCTCCACAGACGTTTCTTGCAACCGCTAGGGCTACTTAAATGAAGTCTGCTTGTTTGGTTCCTAAATATAATTATTTCACTCTGCGGGGGGGGGGGGGGGGGAATCTGTGTTTCCTGATATGATCCACAGAAAGGTAAAGTAAAAAGGTAAAGGACCCCTGGACGGTTAAGTCCAGTGAAAGGCGACTATGGGGTTGTGGCGCTCATCTTGCTTTCAGTGCTGAGGGAGCTGGCATTTGTCCGCAGACAGTTTTCCAGGTCATGTGGCCAGCAGGACTAAACCACTTCTGGTGCAACGGAACACCGTGACAGAAGCCAGAGTGCACGGAAACACCGTTTATCTTCCCGCCGTAGTGGTACCTATTTATCTACCTGCGCTGGCATGCTTTCGAACTGCTAGGTTGGCAGGAGCTGGGACCGAGCAATGGGAGCTCACCCCATCACGGGGATTCGAACCGCCGACCTTCTGAACGGCAAGCCCAAGAGGCTCAGTGGCTTAGACCACAGCGCCATTTGCCCACTCCAGCAGGGGTACTGCCTCTCCCCTAACACCCCATATATCTTGAATACACCTGCAGAAATACACACACACTGACAGAACCATTATGAAGGAGCACTAAGTTTCAGCCCCATCTCGGTTATGGGGACGGCAACACTGAATAACCTTTATTTTGTTATTTAAATAAGGATGCACGTATGGGAAGCCCTTTTGAGTATTAATAATAATTTATTATTTTTACCCCTCCCATCTGGCTGGGTTTCCCCAGTCACTATGGGAGGCTTCCAACAAAGATTAAAAATACATTAAAATGTCACACATTAAAAACTTCCCTGAACAGGGCTGCCTTCAGATGTCTTCTAAATGTCAGGTAGTTGTTTTTCTCTTTGACATCTGATGGGAGGGTGTTCCACAGTGCGGGCGCCACCACCGAGAAGGCCCTCTGCCTGGATCCCTTTAGCTTTGCTTCTCGCAATGAGGGAACCGCCAGAAGGCCCTCGGCGCTGGACCTCAGTATCCGTGAAGAACGATGGGGGTGGAGACGCTCCTTCAGGTATACTGGGCCGAGGCCGTTTAGGGCTTTAAAGTTGAGTGTGTGTGTGTGTGTGTGTGTGTGTGTGTGTGTATACACACACACACACACACACATATATATGACAGTACATGAGGTAACAGTGTGATTTGCTTTCTATTTTTCCTGTGACCAATAAAGAAAAGCCAAATTGCAGCCAATTTCTCTCTTCTTTCTTATTTCATCCTCACATCATTAGTTGGTTTGACCAAATACAACCTAGTCCAACAACTTTTCCTCTGGTCTCTTTTACAGAAAGGCTTCTCATTGTGTTGTGCTTTTAAAACCCTTGCACCAGTGATCATCTACGAAACTAATTGACAGTCTTACTTTTTCAAACTTTGATAAAAGCTGAAAGAAGTCTATCTACAGTGAGTTCTGATTTCCTAGGATTGCACTGATTAAAGGCCACCCTACCTTGCACTGGGGACGCGGGTGGCGCTGTGGTCTAAACCACTGAGCCTAGGGCTTGCCGATCGGAAGGTTGGCAGTTCGAATCCCTGCAACGGGGTGAGCTCCCGTTGCTCAGTCCCTGCTCCTGCCAACCTAGCAGTTCGAAAGCACGTCCAAGTGCAAGTAGATAAATAGGTACCGCTCTGGTGGGAAGGTAAACGGCATTTCCGTGCACTGCTCTGGTTTCACCAGAAGCGGCTTAGTCATGCTGGCCACATGACCCGGAAAAACTGTCTGCGGAAAAACGCCGGCTCCCTTGGCCAGTAAAGCGAGATGAGTGCTGCAACCCCAGAGTCATCCGCAACTGGACTTAACTGTCAGAGGTCCTTTACCTTGACCTTACCTTGCATTGGGTCCATATACCTTCATGTGTTATGTTTTCTCCAAAATCTAAAGCTTGGCCAACTCTTAAGCCTCCTTAGCAGCTACACACAATGTAATCAATAAATTTAAGCAACAGGTAATGTTGTTTATCATGTTCTCACCTCGCATTTGCCTCTAATTCTCAACAGTTCAGCTACCAAATAATTATTTGACACCAGCTCACAAAAACAGATTGTTTGCTATTTCCACACAGTGACTGTCCTACTTCTATATAATGGCCTGGTTCACTCGTGACAGTATGCCAAACTATGGCTTACTGGGAATGAGCTAATGTGCTGGTTTGCAAGAGAGAAACTTGAGAGTGTCATCTGAATCTGGGGCTGCAGTTAAGCTCTCACCTCCTTGACCATGAGCTGTAAGCCAAGGTCAAACCTCGGTTGGGCATAATATTATGTGCAAACGTGGCCATTGTTCATCAAGCTCGTATACCCGCCTCCTGCTGTAGAAAGCCAAATAAAAATAAATGCTGGACTTTCTAAATTTGTTTTGGTATTCCATACTGCATATCTAGATTGTGTTACACTCCTCATGCAACTTGATGCAACTCCTACCACAAATTTGGTACCCTCTGTTATATGCTGATTAGAATTACCTGGAACAGAAAATTTAATTGAGGCCAATAATGGGATTTTAGCGGCTGGCATCTGCCTTGCAAATGACAAATTCCCTTGGAACTGTCTTTCCATCTTAACTTCCTGTAAAAAGTCCCAGTGTTCTCTTTTTCCTCTTGCCCCATTGTTATTTATACATTTCCATTTCGTGCTGGAAAAAGGGCCAGGCACAGTGCAGGATGAGGGGTGCAGAGAGGAAAATGGTGGGTGGGTGGGAGGCTTAATTAGCACATCCCTCCTTCCTGTCATCTCTTCCCTGAAATTGTCCCATTCCCTTCCTTTGCAAGTTACTGGCAAGCAGAACAGGGACTACCAAATGTCCAGTCCTGGCCTCCATGTGCTGGGCCCGGGGGTAACCTGGGAAACGCAGTCCAGGACCAGACCAGAATCCGAAGGTTCTGCTAGGACTCAGTCCGACAGGGCCAAGGCAGGAAACCGGCAAGGACAGGTACAGGAGCTCAGGCAGGATCTAGCATACAGCAGTGTTGCTCCCGCAACCTGGGGCGGAGTCCGACAGCCTTTTATCTTTGCCGAGGTAGCAGCCGGTCCTGATCCCCCGGCGACTCACCTCCCTGTTTTGCCCGAAGGCAAGCACTCCTCCTGCGAATACTCAGGTCTCTCCTTCTCTCAGACCTTAGTCTCTGCAGCTCGGGAGACGTCAGTGGGTTACTAGACCCCATTCGCTAAAGTGGTATCTCAGGTTAAGAACAGTTTCGGGTTAAGAACGGACCTCCGGAACGAATTAAGTTCTTAACCTGAGGTACCACTGTATTGTGTTTTTAATATTCTGTTGGGAGCCACCCAGAGTGGCTGGGGAAACCCAGCCAGATGGGTGGGGTATAAATAATAAAATCAATAATAATAATAATTAATAATGACATTACCTTGCTGCACCACTGATAATTGTTACCAGCATCACAGGGTTGCCATGAAGGCAAAACCTATCAAATACAGCAAAGCACTTTAAGGTATACATGCTGCCCACCCACCCCAATATATTTTATTTTTGTGACATTCCAGTCAACCAAGGATGATGCCTGGGTCTGCACAAGAGGTCCCCTGCTCTGTGAGATCCCGGGGAGGGTGGGGGAAGGAACTGAGAAGACCCCCAGCCTGTCATACAGTTCCCAAAGGATACTGCCTCGCTTCCCTGTCAGATATCAAACTGGTTCTGAGATTGCTTTGATGAAATAAGGTGGTGTGTCATTTGGAGACTTCCTTGATTGGCAGTGTTTATTCTGGGTACCAAGAAACTCCACTGGAGGTTAACTTGCTTCCGAGTTCCAAAATTGCTCCTTGTGGGGAACGGTGGTGCAGGACATTCGAGTCCCGTTTGCAGAAGGACAGACGCTCTTGGACACAGAAAGTTGGCTGGCTGGTACCAAGTCAGACATTTGGGCCCATCTAACCCAGTGCTCTCAACACTGACTGGCAGCTGAAACTATTAAAGAAACTGTTGCCCGGGCCTAAGCTGCTGTTTGCAAGGGTGTGGCTGCTCCATCCTGTCTCCACAGCAGCTAACCAGACTGCCTATAGCAAGTCCGAAAGCAGGACCTGAACAAAGCACTGTGCTTGTTAAGTTGTGGGTGAACATATCAGACGACACAGCAATCCTTCAAACAGCTCTTGTTTATTCACAGGCCCAGAACAGAACTGGGCTGAAGGGTTCAGCCAACCTGCTTATATAGAGCTCAACTACAAAGCAACAATAACAACTTTCTATAACAATCCAATCACTGAACGTCACTTTCAGTTCCTTATTTGCATATGTGGACCTGAGTGAAAACTATCTACAATATCCCCCTGCTGGCCCAGGGTGAGAACTTCAGTACATAACAGCACTCCTCAGCTGTGATCCGCAAGAACTTGTCTACAGTCTCCAACAATGGAGCTACTGCTACACACCCACCTGCCAAAGCTTCCTTGAACATCTCACAGCTGAGGGGAATGCAAGGGGGGCAAACAGGTCAGGACCACAATACCTCAAGGACCGCTTCTCCCCATATACACCGTCCCGGACACTGTGTGTGCCTCCTCCATGTGAAGTCTGGAGGGCAGCAACACAAAAACAGGCCTTTTTGTGGTGGCTCCCCACTTGTGGAATGCTCTCCCCAGGGAGGTTCGCCTGGTGCCTTCATTATATGTCTTTAGGCACCAGGTGAAAACATTCCTCTTCAACCAGGCCTTTGGCTGATTAGATAGCAGGAGAGGACAGCCTCTCCTGGTATGTCCCACGGAGGACCTTATGGTCTACAAATAAAAACATCTTGGAGATCCCGGGCCACAGGGAGGTTAGGCTGGCCTCAACCAGAGCCAGGGCTTTTTCGGCCATGGCCCCAATCTGGTGGAACGCTCTGTCACAAGAGACTAGGGCCCTGCGGGACTTGACAGCTTTCCGCAGGGCCTGCAAGACGGAGCTGTTCCACCAGGCCTTTGGCCAAGGCACAGTCTGACCCCCTCCTTCTGTAATCCTCATAGCACTCTAGCCCAATGGTTGCCGTTAATTTGATTCTGAATTGATTTTAGAATGTATTTCAATTAATTGATTGTGATTTTATGTAAACTGTGCTATTTTTACTGTTGTTAGCCGCTCTGAGCCCACCTTTGGCTGGGCAGGGTGGGATATATATATATATATATATATATATATATATATTCATTCTGCAGTCTATTAAATGTGGGGAGGGGGTTCCCCCTAAAAAGAGCTCACCAACTTTGGGTGCAGTTCCCCTTAAACAAAGGTCAACAAATTCTGCCACGTCTTTTTCTAGAAAAAAGCCCTGCCGACACTTCTTTTTATGCTGTTAAAAACTCTGGTACTTACTGTAATCATTTCATGGTGAGTTCTCTCCTTTGAGACTTGAGACTTTTAAATGTGTCTATGGGAAGGAATAATGGTATTGTTTAGCTGTTCCCTTTCAATTATTTACTCGTTTTTATCCTGTATTTTATTCTGCGAGCCGCCCCAAGATCTTACAATAAATAATAATAATAATAATAACCTCAAAATTATGGTCTGCACCTGAGGTCCCATACTAAGCAGTGTCGGATTTTGCCAGTCTCTCCAGATGAGGAATGCAAATCTGCTTCACGATCTAGTTGCAGATGGGTACTGCTGGGTACATGTTAGAATGGTTCCCCCATACAAAAATAAAAATAATTCTAAAAATCCCTGCACGCAGAATGCTAGCATGTCAAGAAGAATGGTGCTCCCTGCCAGTTTTCTGCATGCAGGAATTTATTTATTTTACAGTAAAGCACCTTCAAACATACACAGTCTGAGAAACAGGTTTACCGCCTCATAAGCTGTTTGCGAAACCCGCCCATATTTCCATTATTAGACGATTTTGCTGAGTGAAAACACAGAAGAAAATTTAGAAGAAGAAAACAAACAACTCCTTTCCTGCCCCGTGAGGAGTTTGACACAACGTGAAACATAATGTGGCACTTTGGGCAGAACAACTTGATTTTTTTAATAAATGTTTTTTGGGAGGTGGGGGACAACGACAATATCGCCTCCACAGTTCTCCACCCTTCCATCTAAAGGGCACAATCTAGTCCTCCAGTGATTTAAAAACAAACACACACACACACCAAAAAAAGAAAGACTGCAAAGCTGAAGATGATTAGACGCCATGAGAATTCAGGCAGCAACTCCCCAAACTCTGCAGCAGAGCGAGACAGCTGCAGAGGCAAGCTGTGAAGAAGATTCATCCAAGGGTTCCTGACCCCGTCTCACATGCCAGGATACCGAAAGAGAGGAAGTTGCCGGCGGCCATGGGAGATCTCTGGTGGTTGCACTGCGGCAAAGGGGAAAGGCCAGGCAAGTCAGAAACAGCCGCGTCCTGCTGTTATTGGTATTGACAATTAGAACGGAGAACGGAAGCAAGGAAGCAACGGTAATAGGATTTGTGCGGTGCTCTCCCCGAGAACTCAGAGGGCTTCCCATATTCATATCCTCATTTAAATAATAAAATACAGTGCTACTTCAGGTTAAGAACTTAATTCGTTCTGGAGGTCTGTTCTTAATCTGAAACTGTTCTTAACCTGAAGCACCACTTTAGCTAATGGGGCCTCCCACTGCCACTGCGCCGCTGCTGCACAATTTCTGTTCTCATCCTGAAGCAAAGTTCTTAACCTGAGGTACTATTTCCGGGTTAGCGGAGTCTGTAACCTGAAGCGTCTGTAACCTGAAGCGTATGTAACCTGAAGCGTATGTAACCTGAAGCGTCTGTAACCTGAAGCGTATGTAACCTGAAGTACCACAGTAAAGGTTTGTCAGTGTTGCCATCCCCAAAACTGAGATAGGGCTAACAACAACAACAACAACAACAACAACAACAACAACATTATTTATACCCCGCCCTCCCCAGCCAAGACCAGGCTCAGGGCGGCTAACACCAGGTATAAAAACAATTGATTGAAATACAACTTAAAAACAAGATTAAAATACAACATTAAAATGCAGCCTCATTTCAGTAGGAACTCAAATCAAAAACTTTTGGGGGGATGAAAACGTCAAATCTTCACCAAGGCCAACTATCCAGTCTGGTCCTACATGGGCCAGAAAAAAGACAGGGAAGTCCCCAAATAGGAGTCCCATCACAGAAGGAGAAAGGAAAAAGGAAAGAGGGCTGAGGCTTAGTGCCCTTCCAAAATGGTTCTGTGAGTGTGTGTGTATTTCTGCAGGTGTATTCAAGATATGGGTGTTAGGAGGGAGGTAGCTCCTCTGATGGAGGAAGAAGGTGGAGCTGTGGTCAAAGCCACAGAATGTTCGAGTCCACACGATGGGGTGAGCTCCCATTGCTCTGTCCCAGCTTCTGCCAACCTAGCAGTTCAAAAGCGTACCAGTGCAAGTAGATGAATAGGTACCACTATGGCGGGAAGATAAATGGCATTTCCGTGCGCTCTGACTTCTGTCACGGTGTCCCGTTGTGCCAGAAGCAGTTTAGTCCTGCTGGCCACATGAGCCGGAAAGCTGTCTGTGGACAAATGCCGGCTCCCTTGGCCTGAAAGCGAGATGAGCGCCGCAACCCCATAGTCGCCTTTCACTGGGCTTAACCGTCCAGGGGTCCTTTACCTTTTTACTTTACCTTTCTGTGGATGATATCAGGAAAGGCAGGAGGGAAACAGAATCAACCAATCAGACGGGACTCATTGTGAAAATAATGTATATAAAGCCTGAGGTTTTTTGGGGGGAGGGAATTCATTCACTGTTTTAGAGCTGCAATAAGGAGCATGATATCATTACGCGACTCTGAGTATATTTCACAAATCATTCTCCCATCAGTCTTGCGGGCTAATGCAACAGATGAACCTATTACGGTGGCAGATGCAACACTCTCTGCACTGAGCGGGAAATTGGTTGCAAAGACCCTTTCCCTCCCTCCCACTCCCTGGCCTCACTGCTGACCTGCGCTCATTTGCTCCCAAACCAGCAGGTTAGATGGATATGTGGACCAAAGGGGGCTTGAGGGGGGCTTTTAAAGTGCGGAGCTTGGCAGGCGAACGAGGTGCTGAGCTCACCTGACTGACCTCCCTCCTAGTCCTCAGCAGGAGTAAGCTAGCAGCAGCTGATCTCATTAATAAAACAGGCCTTGCCTCCCTTGGGCTCACCGCGGTGCTCATCAAGATTTCACCTTATGCTCAAGCAGCCAGTGCCGCTCCATACCCCGCACTGAAGAGAATCGGGGCTGTCAGTTCATCTCCGCCTGACATACCCGAAAGCGCGGAAAGACAGGGGGTGGAAAAAATACCCACACAAAATGTGAAATGGAGACAGGTTCCTCCTGTGACCTAAAGGATAAGAAGGCAGTGCCTATATTTAAAAGTGGCTCGAGGGGATAGCTAATGAGAACTGGCCCATTTAAGCTTTCCGCCCCGGCCCGGTCTCTCGAATCATCATCGTAAACACAGGCCCAGGAGAAAACTAAAACTTCCACGGCCGGTATTTAGGTTGCTACACTTTGCCATTTCAGGTTGGGCAAAATTCCACACTCCAGCGCTGTGGTCTAAACCACTGAGCCTCTTGGGCTTGCTGATCGGAAGGTCAGCAGTTTGAATCCCCGCGACGGGGTGAGCTCCTGTTGCTCTGTCCTAGCTCCTGCCAACCTAGCAGTTCAAAAGCACAACAGTGCAAGTAGATAAATAGGTACCGCTCCGGTGGGAAGGTAAACGGCGTTTCCGTGCGCTCTGGTTTCCGTCACAGTGTTCTGTTGCACCAGAAGCGGTTTAGTCATGCTGGCCACATGACCTGGAAAGCTGTCTGTGGACAAACGCCAGCTCCCTCGGCCTGAAAGCGAGATGATCGCCGCAACCCCTTTAACTAGACTTAACCACCTTTAACTGGACTTAACCTTCCAGGGGTCCTTTACCTTTACCTTTTAGTAAAAGAAATGGAAAAGCACTCACAGGGGTACAGATTTGCGTTTTTATCTGTGCTCTCTGGTGAATGGAATTTCTAAACCCAAAAAATACCCTTCAGAGGCATACAGAAGCTGTATATTTTTTAAGACGCTTATTGTCAGAAGATTCAGGTAGGTAGCTGTGCTGGTCTGACACAGTCGAAATATATTTTTAATTTTTTTTTAAAAAAAAATGTCCAGTAGCACCTTAGAGACCAACTAAGTTTGTTCTTGGTATAAGCTTTCGTGTGCATGCACACGAAAGCTTATACCAAGAACAAACTTAGTTGGTCTCTAAGGTGCTATTGGACAATTTATTTTTTTAAAAAAAATATTTATTGTCAGAAGGTTAAGGCATCATCGCCAACTGACTCTGTTTACCAGAGAGAGTTCTTATTCTCTGATACATGTCTCTTGGAAAACATCCGGTTTACAGCTCACCTTATCACACCCCTTTAAAAAGTCGTGACTTCCCCCAAAGAGTCCTGGGAACTGTTTGGAAACAGGGGTCTCCTAACAGCTCTCAGCACCCTAAACAGACTACAGCTGCATTCTTTGGGGGTGGGGGTGGGATATGACAGCCATCGTCAAATACCTGAAGTGCTGTCTTATGGAAGATAGAGTAATCTTGGGGTAACTGTGCCCCTGAAGGACCAGGTGCGCAGCCTGGGAGTCATTTTGGACTCACAGCTGTCCATGGAGGTGCAGGTCAATTCTGTGTCCAGGGCAGCTGTTTACCAGCTCCATTTGGTACACAGAATGAGACCCTACCTGCCTGCGGACTGTCTTGCCAGAGTGGTGCATGCTCTAGTTATCTCCCGCTTGGACTACTGCTTGGACTACTGGTGACCCAGAAACTGCAATTAATCCAGAATGCGGCAGCTAGACTGGTGACTGGGAGTGGCCGCCGGGACCACATAACACCGGTCCTGAGAGATCTGCATTGGCTCCCAGTACGTTTCCAAGCACAATTCAAAGTGTTGGTGCTGACCTGTAAAGCCCTAAACGGCCTCAGTCCTGTATACCTGAAGGAGCATTTCCACCGCCATCGTTCAGCCTGGACACTGAGGTCCAGCACCGAGGGCAGTTCCCTTGCTGTGAGAAGTGAGGTTACAGGGAACCAGGCAGAGGGCCTTCTTGGTAGTGGCGCCCGCCCTGTGGAACGTCCTTCAGATGTGAAGGAAATAAGTAGCTATCTTATCTTTAAAAGACATCTGAAGGCAGCCCTGTTTAGGGAAGTTTTTAGTATTTAACGCTGTGTTGTTTTTAACACTCGATTGGAAGCCACCCAGAGTGGCTGGGGAAACTCAGTCAGATGGGCAGGGAATTATTATTATTATTATTATTATTATTATTATTATTATTTTATTATATTGGCTTTTTTGCTGCTTCAGACAGCAGGACCCAAACCAATGGATTCAAAGGACAAAAAGGAAGATTCCAGCTAAACACCAGGAAGAACTTTCTGGAAGCAAGAGCTGTTTGACAGTGGGACGGGCTTCCTCAGAAGGTGATGGGCTCTCCTTCATTGGAGAGGTTAGATGGCCATCTGTCAGGGGTTCTTTAGCTGCGATTCCAACTCTGCAGAGGGTTGGACTAGATGACCCTTGGATCCCTTCCAATTCTAGGCTGCAATCTTGACATGAGGCACTACTGAAAAAAGAGCTTCCCTTCTTCCAAGAGGCCAAAAAACCCCACCAAAAATCACCACCACTGCATATTTCTAAAGCACCCAAGTTACGTAGCACTGATTCATAATCCGATTTAGTGGTGGGAGCAAAGGAAAAGATGAGCAACTTCAGGCATGCATCAGGTGGTAACTTTTCCAAACACTCAGCACTGGGCATCTGTTGTGTTTTGCTGCAGTCACTGCCAGTCCTCCCTCTGACCTCAACAGGAAGAAATCAGGGCAGACTCAAGAGCCTTGGAAAAAATCATTCAAATGGATGGGTGATATATTTTCCCCCTGCTGTTTGCAAGCAAATATAACTCATTAAGGAGAGCTGGGCGTTTCAGAAGAAAGCTAAAAAAATAATAATAATGGAGAAATGAAACATCTAGCATTTCATGCAAGGCTCCAAATTTCCTGCACCCAAAAACCATAAAAACCTAATTTGGCGTCAAAAAACCCAACCTTTTCTTCTTAACCATTTATTTCATTATTATTTTTTAAATCACTGTCCCACTGCTTTTACTAAGCGCTGGTGGTGGTTCACCACAACCACCGTAAAAACACTAAAGCAAATAATGGAGCAGAGGTCGTTTCCATACTTCTTTTGGCAAAGCTGACTCCTTGCTTTGAAGGAGACAGGCTTCCCAAGGAATCGGAAACTTGCTGGCGAGGGCTATCAAAAAACATGCAGAAAGAAGCATTAATGTTCCACGGCCACTTCAGGATCAGCGATCGCCTCTTTGGTCACAGCTCTACAAAGAGGAAAAGACTCTCTGGAACATTTGAGTCATTTATTTTATGTACCTGTTTAAATGGTTTTACCCCATTCACTCGCTGAGATTTGAAGATTCGCATAGCTGCCTTTTGTCCTTGCTTGGCGACATCACTTCTCTTCCGATGGGCTCCTCCTGATCTTGCTCACCACCCTCAAAAGGTAAAGGGGCCCCTGACCATTAGGTCCAGTCGCAAACGACTCTGGGGTTGCGGCGCTCATCTCGCTTTATTGGCCGAGGGAGCTGACGTACAGCTTCCGGGTCATGTGGCCAGCGTGACTAAGCCACTTCTGGCGAAACCAGAGCAGCGCACGGAAACGCCGTTTACCTTCCCGCCAGAGCGGTACCTATTTATCTACTTGCACCTTGAAGTGCTTTTGAACTGCTAGGTTGGCAGGAGCAGGGACCGAGCAACAGGAGCTCACCCCGTCATGGGGATTCAAACTGCTGACCTTCTGATCGGCAAGTCCTAGGCTCTGTGGTTTAGACCACAGCGCCACCACCCTTACTATTTATTAAATTTATATAGTATACAAAGTATATAAATACTTTCAGGCCAGCTGCTAACCTGAGCAACAAGCTAACTCTGAAATTGTAGCTGCTGTCATTCAAGGTGTCAGCACGAGCGTCCAAAGCCCTAACTGGCTTGTGACCCAGTTACCTAAAACAGCTCCTTCTGCAATCTCCACCATTTTGGCCCCTACAATCAGCAAGAGGGGCTACAGGTGTCTGCCCATTTGACAACGCTGACAGGACCTTGTCATTTGAAGTTACCCATTTGTAGAATCCCCTCCATGGTGATTTCTGTCTCCGTCTTTATTAACTTTAAGGAGGGGTTTCAAAACATTCCGGTCCACCCAGGCATTTGATGGCTCAGATTCCGTTCCTGGCACCTCTGACATTATGAACTGTGAGAGTATGTGGTCCTCTTGAGACATTTTTACATGGCTTTTAGATGTTTTTAATTTTGTTTGTTTGTTTGTTTTATTATTAATTGCACAGTTTTATCACTGAGGTATTTGCTGCCCTGGGCTCCTTTACGAAGAAGGGGAGGGTATAAATTTAATAAATATCACCATGTTGCTCCTCTACCTGGATGACTGTTTTATTCTGTCCCATTATTCTCCTGGGATATCTTCGGGAGAAGAAAAGGAAATGCAGGAATCTCCACTAAAGCAACCATGACAGATGGCTATCCAGCTCCTGCTCCTCAACCCGGGGGCTCCCTCCTCCTCCCTCTTCAAAAATTCCTGGAAATCCTCATTTGGTAAAGAGACTAAGATTTATTCTTACTTATTTATTAGAGAGAAAAAGAGAGAGCTCTAGGCTCCTCATAGAACCATAATTCGCAGGGTTCCCTGTGGAGAGGGATTGAAGATTAACCCAGGGTTTCCAAATCTGGGTCTCCACCAGTTTTTGGACTACAATTCCCATCATCCCTGGCTAGCAGGACCAGTGGTCAGGGAAGATGGGAACTGTAGTCCAAAAACAGCTGGAGACCCAAGTTTGGGGAATCCTGGATTAAACTACGTTAAGAGTGCAATTTGGTGCACACTCACCCAGTAGTAAGCCTCCATGTGCCTCACAGGATTTACTTCTGAGTAAACATATCAAGAGTCATGCTGCACACCTTTAACAGCTCTCCCTTACTGGATCAGGGCAATTGCTTTTTTAATTCAAAATTTCTATTCGCACTTAAAATAAAATAAAAACTTGCATAACTTAACTGGGTTTGGAAGCTGGTTGTGCCATGTAATTCTGTTACTCACTCCCAGTTCATGCTTCCCACCCAAAAGTATAATCATGTTTCCTAGCTAGAAAAGTGAAGCGGGAGGGAAACTATAAAAACACTTACGCAAAGGTCATAATAACAATCTGCAGAGATTTTTACAGCTGCCTCTCTCTTATTTGAGGGATCCGCTTCTAACCATCTCCTACGCGTTTGTTATTTTTGACCTTTGCACATGCTTTTTTTTTTTAAGGGGTGGGGAAGGCGGAGGAGGGGAGAACCCACACAGATTTGGAAGTGGTTTTAAAATCCAGGGCCCAAATATTGAGACTAAAATTTATAAATATGGGAGAGTGCCTGGCCACTCAGAATAAGCAGAATCATGGGCGTAGCGAAGCGGGACACATTTTTTGTTTTGTTTTATTTCTTGCTCAGTGCCCTTTTATTTGGGGGGGGGGGAGACAGAGAGAGAGAGAGAATATTTCTGGACTATAACACCTCCAATCCCAGGTGCATTTCTGTGAGTGTAGGTACCACCAAAGTCAAATACCCAACATGAAAACCTAAGTATGCTAAGGGCTAGAGGTGCAAAGGATTCCCCCACCCACAAAGGCCTGGAAACGATGCCTTATGAGGAACGGCTAAGGGAGCTGGGCATGTTTAGCCTGGAGAAGAGGAGGTTAAGGGGTGATATGATAGCCATGTTCAAATATATAAAAGGATGTCACATAGAGGAGGGAGAAAGGTTGTTTTCTGCTGCTCCAGAGAAGCGGACACGGAGCAATGGATCCAAACTACAAGAAAGAAGATTCCACCTAAACATTAGGAAGAACTTCCTGACAGTAAGAGCTGTTCGACAGTGGAATTTGCTGCCAAGGAGTGTGGTGGAGTCTCCTTCTTTGGAGGTCTTTAAGCAGAGGCTTGACAACCATATGTCAGGAGTGCTCTGATGGTGTTTCCTGTTTGGCAGGGGGTTGGACTCGATGGCCCTGGTGGTCTCTTCCAACTCTATGATTCTATGATTCACACATTCCAAATAAAAGTGCATACCTTCCAACATTTCTCTGATGAAAATAGGGGTGTCCTATTGTATTATTGGTAGTGAGAGCTGGACCATAAAGAAGGCT